TGCGCAGAGAGCAGTAGAGTTCACGTCGCGAAAAATTAAACTGTTATATCAACTGCACGGACGATGAAGAAGTTTTTACCCTTTCTCTTGTAATTTCAAGGAGGAAAGGGAAAAATTTACCCTTCCACATGTTGAAGGTCCAATCGCTGACATGGAACTTCTTCATCATCCGTGCGGTTGATATACTCAAACAGTTTATTTTTCGCGACTCGTCAAAAATGCTCTTTTACAGGTCATTTTAATTAGTTATTTTACTAATTGCTTTTTATTGCTCATAGTCAAAAACGATTTTATTGGAAACTTTGATAATCTAATTTCCCATTTTCGTAAAGAAAGTGTAAAAATGTTATTTTTTGTGGGAGAATTGGCTGTCGCAAAATGTCGATTTTAGTGCTGGTTTAGTAACCTTATGGTTTGTTTACATTTCACAACTTGGACATAGCCTTAAGAACTTTCTATGTCCCAGTGCCCGCTGAAGTTAAATTTCAGTTTTATTGTTACTTTTACTGCACCCTTTATATTGAGCATATATATATTTTATTTTCTACGTTAAATATGACAATACATACTATGAGATTTTCAAACTTAAAACCTGAAAATATTAATATAGAAATTGTTTTCAAACTCACGTTCATTGATTTTAGAAAATTTGTAATAGACATCAAATTCAAGACTCTAAACTTGTTTATAAAATAAATATATAGTGAATGTAATTTAAAATTTAGAAACAGTAACTGATATCAATACCAATTTCATAAAAAATTAAACAATATTCAACAAAAAAAATTAATTAAAATTTTTGTCGAAAATTAAAAATTGGATTTTAGCTTAAAAATTCGGATATATTATTTATATTTCATTTTTATAGTGAAAATTAGTTGTATTTATATTAAAAAGTAGCTACAGAAAATGTCACATCAATTTAACAAAAAATTTAAAAATTTGCATTTTTTTGATTTTTTGAATTTTATGAAAAAGGCTATAACTTTCGTTTAGCTTAATATTTTGCAATCGGATATAACTATAAATTTAAGGGGGGGGTATAGTTAATTCGGTGAAAAAAACGCATGTTTTTTAGAATTTTTTTTAGCGATACGCAAAAAGTTTATTTTTTTTTATCACTTTGCATATAACATTGCAACATTTGAACAATATTTTTTTAAATTTTGATTTAAAAATATTAAAAATTGAGCGAGATAATGAGATTTTTCTCAGCCGCGTCAAAAAAAAAATGATTTGCGGTGTACACTCTAACTCGCAACAGAATCATCCAAAACAAAAAAATCAAAATGCATTTGTTAAAGGAGATGTTTTTTGAGGTATTATCGGAAGGGATTTTTTTGTTTTTTTACTTTTCGATTTTCCGTAGCACTTGAAAGCCAAAAAGTCGATTTTCACTGTAAAAAATCGATTAATTTGTTATTGTAAAATTGGTAATTTTTTAATAAAAAAATAATGGCTTCCGATGTTACCTCAAAAAACATCTCCTTTAACAAATGCACTTTGATTTTTTTGTTTTGGATGATTCTGTTGCGAGTTAAAGTGAACACCGCAAATTTTTGGAGGCGCCTGAGGAAAATGTTAGAATCTTGCTCAGTTCTTAATATTTTTAAATTAAAATTTAGAAAAATATTGTTCAAATGTTGCAGTATTATATGCAAAGCGATAAAATAAATTAACTTTCTGCGTATCGCCAAAAAAAATTCTTAAAAACATGCGTTTTTTTCACCGAATTAACTATACCCCCCCCCCCCCTTAAGTTAGACTAATACCTAAGAGACTGTAAAGTAGGGTGTTCAAAAAAAATAAAAAAAATTTTTTATTGGGTCTCATCCCCTAAAAGTCTTTTAATTTGTGTAAAAATAAGAACACAATATTTGGAAATAAAAATTTTTAATATTAACCCGTAGTTCAGAGCCTTTGAGCCATAAAAACGCTAAAAATTTAGTGTTTCTTCATTTTTAACATAAATATAAATGTCAAAATATAATGATTAGGGTGTCATTGTAAAGATAATTAAATTACCTTTCGATCCATATGTCACAGTATAAGATTCAATGAAAATTAAGAGTGTTACAGTCGATTAAAGATCAAATTTTATGGAAATTTTGATGATTTTTAGACACTTAAGTAACTAGTACTTTTTTCACATTGAACAGTAAAAAATATTTAGATTTTAATTTTTTTATTGAGAGTCTAACATTACAAAAATCCGTAATTTAATAGTCGATTAAATTCGTCTCAAAATCCGTTACCCGATTTTGAGACGAATTCGATCGACTTTTAAGAAGTTCTCCGTCATTTTGAAATTTGAAAAACTGACATTGGACTCTAAATCAGCGACTTCAGTATTTCTTGATTACTGATTTTAGTAACTTTAGTGGTTATATCTAAATTTATTGTTTCAATTTTTGCTGCAAATGTTGAAGAAATGATAAAAAATAAAAAAATAGTTTCGTTCACTAAATCTAGTGTATAATTGTCCTATTCAATCAAATCGAGGTCCACAAGGGCTAAAAATTTTCGTAATGTTAGACTCTCAATAAAAAAATTAAAACCTAAATATTTATTACTGTTTAATGTGAAAAAAAGTACAAGTTACTTAAGTGTCTAAAAAATAAAAATCATCAAAATTTTCATAAAATTTGATCTTTAATCGACTGTAACACTCTTAATTTTCATTGAATCTTAAACTATGACATATGGATCGAAAGATAATTTAATTATCTTTACAATGACACCCTATTTATTATATTTTGACATTTATATTTATGTTAAAAATGAAAGAACACTACATTTTTAGCGTTTTTATGGTTCAAAGGCTCTGAACCACGGGTTAATATTAAAATTTTTTATTTCCAAATATTGTGTTCTTATTTTTACACAATTTGAAAGAATTTTAGGGGATGAGACCCAATAAAAAAAAACTTTTTATTTTTTTGGGACACCCTACTGCAAGGTTTGTTTTAATCGGTCAAGTAGTCTTTGTGTTTATCCCGGACAAAATATTTCGGACAGACATACATACATACATACACACATACATACATACATAATTTTTTTTATTGTCATTTTTGGAATTCTTACTACTCGAATAGAAAAACTAAACATGAATTTTCAAATTCTATGCAATGTACAGACAAAAGTCTGATCTTATTTATAAAGATTTTTTATCCCACATGCACAAAAATGGCGCTTTCTGATAGCAGGTACGACAGGGAGGAAAGTCATTTATTTCTTCGACCGTATGAAAATGACGGCCGTGTTCTCCCAAGGGCAAGAAAATTAGCTGTTCACGTGCATTTTTCTTGCCCATGGGAAAAAACGGCCGCCATTTTCATACAAATCGAACAAGTGAATGACTTTTACTCCCTGTCGTCTGCTATCTGAAATCGCCACTTTTGTGCATGAGGAATAAAAAATATCGTAAGTAACACGAGAATAAAGGCAGCCAATTTCTTTACGATGATTTTTGTGACACGAGTGGAGGTCTCGGGGCGCCCTCGACCTCCATTCGTGTCACAAAAATCACCGTAAAGAAATGGCTGCTTTTATCCTCTTGTTGCTTAATATACTATTTATATTGTTAAAATAAAATTACCTTAAATTAATTGAGACAAATTATTTGTATTTATATCTAACATCGATTTATTTGATTGAAATAAATAAATTAATAGTTTCAAATAACTCATTTATTATCGCTTCAATAAGTGATTTATTTGATACAAATATTTTTTTTTATTTTTTTTTTATTAAATACTGTGTTAGCATTAAATAATGCCCTATTTGCATTAAATATTTTAGTTTAGTCTTGAAGCCATAAAAAGAATTAATTGTGTCAAATAATTTTTATTAGTATCAAATATCCAATTAATTGAGTGAAATAAATACATTAATTGCTTCAAACAACTCATTATTTTGGTTTTAATAAGTTATTTATTTGATCCAAATATTTTTTATTTGTTACTATTAAATAATATATTTGTATTGAATAATGCATTATTTAAATATTAAATTAAATAATTTAGTTCAGTACTTAAAGCGATAATACAAATTAATTGTGTCAAATAATGTTCATTTATAACAAATATACAATTAATTGAGTGAAATGAATGAATTAATTGTTTCAAATAACTCATTATTTGTTTTAAATAAATTAATTTATTAGAACCGACAGATTGGCTCAGTCGGATAGATGCCTGGCGTTGGTGGTCGTTTAAGGACCAAGGGTATAAGCACCCTTGGATCGCGCCCACTTGGCTTGGTATTTTTCCGGCACGTGAGACAATCTGAGCGGGAGGTTTGACGTCGAGGTATAATGATGTGCACCGTCGATTATTGTCCGGTACACACCATTAGAACTCGACTGTCGATAAACCGGTTGTACTCAGAGAGGTTTTCTACAGTTTCCCTCTTCTCTGGCGAGAAAACCCATTGACGGGTGGTCCAGGCGTAATGCGAGTACTCCTAATAAAGTCGGCTGTAGACGCAAAATTAGGTTAATATATAGAAAAATTTCTAAAGTAGAATGGTTATGCTTAATCCAAAAAAAAAGTATTTCTCGGGGACTCTTGTCGAAGTGCGTAAGGCCAATAGGGCAGGAGTATAAACAATAAAAAAAAAAAAATTAATTTATTAGAGTAAATTAATTATTTAATTGACTTAATTAAGATTTATTTGAATCAAATAAATTTGATTCAAATAATTCAAGTTATTTGAATCAAATAAATTCTTTTCAAATAGTTTTAATTAATTGAATCAAATAATTTAGTATATACATATACATATATTTGCTTGGTGCCACCATCACATTCAGCTTCAGTGCCAAGTGTAATATATTTCTACAGTCTAAGGGAGGTCATTGACCTTCGTTAAGGACGTGCCCATGTCCCCAGGCCGGGTCACACGCAAGTCTTGCGATCGCAGGCAAACATGATCCAGAAAAGTAACTCGGCACGTGGCAGCTGTCGCTTGAAAGCAGTCAAGCTTTTCCTTATACCCTGGTTTCGAGTATTTGTTAAAGGCGGTACAATGGTAAGAGAGAGACTTCACCCATCACCTTGTTTTCAATATATTAGAGCATTTTTTTGTTTTAATTAAATGTGCATAGAATATTAGTAATATAAATATTGTGTACAAATCTCCAAATATATATTTCTGAATTTACAGAGGTTAAATTGTTCTAAGAAAGAAGTAGTTTTATTTATTTCTTTTATACTTTCTCATTACATTATAGAAAGAATTAGTGTAAGTCTGAGGGAGATGACCATATGGGAGAGATAGCTAATTAAAATATTTGACAGAATTTGTAAAAAAATATCATTTATTATTTGGTTATTTTCTTTAACAAAATAAAATAAAGTAAGTGTAATCCATTTCATTTTTATGCATGGGTCTAAAATAATTTGAGAAATTCAGATTTCTTATTGTTATATTCTTATTTTTTAACATAATTTTTATACTTGTTTTATTAAGTAGTACATAACCCACGCTTCGATATATAAACAAGAAATGAAAGGAAAAATTATTTTATTTATTTAATTTTTTGATGTTTAAATAATGACTTTTATTTAAATTTTTTATGTTAATAATAAAGAAAAACAAGTTAAAAAATTCCTGATAACAAAATAATTGATCTATAATTTTCACCAGAGATCGAGATTTATTTGTAGGTTGAGACGAACACTCTTAGTTTGAATCAGTCACGCTCGTTTTCACTGACAAATCATTGATTTACATTGGCACAATGTCGAATATTATCACTGATTCAATCAGTCACTGAATTTAACTGAAAACCAGTCAATTGATTTGTCTGTCGATTATTTTAACTGACTTAGATCAGTTATTTTAACAAATATACCTGCTATTTTTTTAACCCGTTGTCTGTTAATGACCCAACGTTGGGTAGTGAAAAAGATGGCCCAGACTTTTAACGACCAAACGTTGGGTTAAAAGAATTGTACCCCGAGTGGATAAAGTTCCGAATAGCCCAACCCACAGAATTCATTGAAACTACGTATACCCATGTATTTTTGTGCCCTGATTACGAAAATGTTAAAGTAATTTGGCGACTAGGTCATCTTCATGTTGAAAACCACAAAAAAACCCATTAAAAAGCCCGTATTAAAGTGCTTCAGAAGGGAAAACACTATAGAGCCCGGCTCTGCTCGTAAGCCCGTAAAACAGGCTTTTTTAAGGGGCACGTTGGAGGGAGGTCGGGTTCTGGGTTGGGTACATTTTAGTACTAACTAGAAAGTCAATTTGACTCCCTTTCTACATTAAAAAGCCGAAGTAGACGAGCAGAGCCGGGCTCTATAGTGTTTTCCCTTCTGAAGCACATTAAAACGGGCTTTTTAATGGGTTTTTTGTGGTTTTTAACATGAAGATGACCTAGTCGCCAAATTTCTTTATCATTTTCGTAATCAAGGCATAAAAATACGTAGGTATACGTAGTTTCAATCAATTCTGTGGGTTAGGCTATTCGGAACTGCACCAAAAAATATCACACGAATCCCACAATACATTTAAGTAATTTTTATATGCTTCAATATCTTGAAAATATTCAAATAAAATATTTCGAAAATCTAATAGAGGGAAGAATTCTAATATCCTACAGATATCGTAGGATATCTCGAGATTATTAATTAATCTTTGGAAATTAAGATATCAATTAGATGTAATAATGTTATTTATGGACGTCCTACAAATATCCTAAGGATACCCTAATTGTATAGAAATGGGGGAACATCTTTAGAAAATATGCAGGGTATTTTTAAATATCACCTAAGTAACACATGATATATTACAGTAATCTGACCGTAATGTTCCATGTAATGTTATTAATATACCAATGTAACATCAAATTGAAATTTCAATAACATTAACATGTCCACCCCAATGTGATATTTTAAATTATTACAGTTACATTACATTGTAATATTGCAGGAAAATATTGCATTAATGTGAAAGTATTATCGCAAAGAAAGATAAAAACAATTCTTCTTATATGGAATTTGGTAATCTTTTTTTGTATCATTACGGTGACAATCTGTAACACTACTATAATAATACCCAGTATATATTTTATATACAAAAATTATTTTTCAATTGTAAAAGTAACTTAAAAATTTTGATACATTATTTTCTAAATAAATGTATGTAGATAAAGTCTTATAAAAATATCAATTCTGTAAAAAATTCGATACAAGCCTATGAAAAAAATGTTATTTTTTTGGGACATATAAAAAATTTAGACAAATCACAAGTGATTCATTTGCATGGACGAAACGAACCGTTAGTCAAACAAAATTTTTGTTTTGCAGTCGACTTGACAACCAAACTGTCATTTTCAATTGTTATTGACAAAACGAACATCTAGTTATATGTCACAAACACTCAAATCCAAAAATGATTTGATGTCGTAATTTGAATAATCATCATAAAATTTATCTATAATAATCTTCGTATTCTGGATTTCCAGATCTCTGTCCACACCTAAAGTTAGACTTTTGTGGATTCTTTTGTTTTTTTGTGTACTAAAGGTTTGACATGTTTATCTTTTTGTATCATTCTGAGGTTATTGATTGATGCATAATAATTATCGCTTTTCTCCCTTTGCGTAATTGTTAAGTGAATTATCAAAAATAAGTTTAATAAAAGTAAAAAAAATTAATTTTGTTTAACGAAACGTAATATTTTATCAAAGTATTTTTTCAAATATATTTTTATTTATTTACTGTAAATTTTCAAATTTTATTTATTTTTATTTACTGTAACGAATCAAATTAAAAAAATTGTGATGATAAATTTGTTTTAATTCAATTTAATTTTAATTATTTATTGTGAAAAATTTATCATTACATATTTATTATAAAAACTTTATAAAAATTTTTTTTTAATATACTATAAAAAAATAGGGGGAAAGAAAATCAATGCATAAATCAATACAATACATTTAATTTCAAGAATATATTTTTATTACTGTGAATAAAATAAATTTAAAAAAATTAATTAATTTTAATTTTGTTTATTGTAGCCGATTAATTACACTACCGTCTGTGAGTATCAGGACGCCCCTTTTTTCATGAGTGGAAAAATGCTTAAAACGTAGAAAATAAGAATGACAAAAATTTTTCGTACTTTTTTCCTGAAAGCTAATGAAATTATGAAAATACTGACACCTGATCGAAGAATTTTTGTTGACTATTTTGTCAGATACAGAAAAAATACTGGATTTTGCATGCTTTTCGTAATTTCTTAATTTCTCGAAAATTAATTAACTTTTATTCGCGCTCTTGGTCTTGTTTTAATCTCTATTTAATGTAGAATCTAAATTATTAACTGGTATTGTGAAATAAATTTTTCCAAAAAAATTTGAAACTGTGAAAGTCGGATAAAAAAATTTTGAAAAACGGATTAACACTTTTTCCAAAAAAAAATTTTTTTTATATTAAATAATTAAGTAATTAAAAAGCTTTTTTGAATTTTAGTATATCTATTAAATGAACCTATTTTACATTGACCTTTTAGACACTTTAATATTCATGATAATTTCTTGAATTTTTTTAATCCTACTTTTATGGTTTCAAATTTTTTTGGAAAAATTTATTTCACAATACTAGTTAATAATCTAGATTCTACATTAAAAAGAGATTAAAACAAGACCAAGAGCGCTAATAAAAGTTAATTAGTTTTCGAGAAATTAAAAAATTACAAAAAGCATGCAAAATCCAGTATTTTTTCTGTATCTGACAGAATAGTCAACGAAAATTCTTCGATCAGGTGTCAGTCTTTTCATAATTTAATTAGCTTTCAGGAAAAAATACGAAAAATTTTTGTCATTCTTATTTTCTACGTTTTAAGCATTTTTCAACTCATGAAAAAGGGGCGTCCTGATACTCACGGACGATAGTGTAGATTTTTTATTTACTTGTGAAAATTTAAATAAAAAAATTTTTTGTTAGTTACGAAGGTTATGTTAATTACATATATTGCTCTGAATTGTTCTGAAAAATCTTAATTCAAGTGGTTGAATCTGCTACGATTTTTTTCAGTATTATTTGATTCAAATAATAATAGAATCTAATAAATATTTATTTTCATTAAATAACTTGAATTATTTGAATCACATTTTTTTAATTAATGCAATAATAATTATTTTAAGTTGCGAAGGTTACTCTTACACTTAATTGAAAAAACAATTAATTTTAACTAAAATTATTTTTTTTATTATAGAATAATAATTATTATTTAAATATTTATTTGTCTGATTCAAATAATTTTGCTATGTATTTTTGATAAGATTTTCGATTCGTTTTGTTACGTCAAAAATAACGAGAAACCTTTTTAAATATACCCAGTAAAAAAAAACTAATTCAAATGAATTGAAACGAATTAACATTTTTGGTAGGCTCCAATTCGTATTTGTCATAAAGCGGGATTCACTCAAGCTCTTTGTATATTCAATTGAATTTAATTCAATATGTACCAATTTGTCCAAACGAATTCGCATTCGAAAGAAATGGCCAAGGAATGCATTGAATTCGTGCTAACGAATTGAAAAAAAATTAAAGACTCAAAACTTGTCCAGTGAATTGGTACGCATAGAAGGTTCGGAAGTTCAATACAGTTTCGCGAATGCAGGAAAATTGCATCATGGCTCCAATTCGTATTTGTCACAAAGCAGGATTCACGAAAGCTCTTTGTGAATTCTTTTTAATTCATTTCAATTAGTTTTCGTTTACTGGGTACCTAACGTTCCTCGTTTTAAATTAGTTTCAGGAATGAATCTAATTTGGGATGAGGATAAGTCAATCAGCCTACTAAATGTATTGAGAGAATAATTTATTTAAAAACCAACAAGAAAGAAAAGTATTGACAATAATACAATGAGTATAATTGATATAATAAATCTTACTGTAGGAATAACGATTAGTGGTGGTATATGAACTGGTGATGATAATCTGGTAATCCAATCTTGAAGTGTGTTGAGGGCTAGACGTAAAGGAGCCTCACACGGTTGTCCTTTATGGCAG